TACCTCCTCATAGTAAGACCCATACCTCCCTGTGAGCATGGAGGAGGAAACAGGGTGGCCTTATCTAGCCACACCTGCCCATAGTCTCACAAGAATGAAAGCTGTGACAAGCTTCTTGAGGATGACAGACAGTTCTTCTCAGGGTCCCAAGTCAGGGTCCAAAGTTTGACTCTTAGCCAAGCCCAAAACTCCCCCCTCTGTTGACTTGGGACCACCACCATCAGACCAAAACCCCAACTTTCCTGCTATTACACAGTAGGAACTGAAGGGGCCCTTGGCCTGACAACTCTACCTGTGGCCTTCTAGTCTGACAGTAGGGAAGATTCTGTGTGGCCATCCTGGTATGTGTGTTTAAACAGTTTTACCGTCCTCACCCTGACTTGGAAATAACCTGGAAATATTCCCTGATTTGCCTTAAGGCTTCTCTCCTCAGGCCCCCAATTCCCCAAGACCCCCAAGGGACAAGTGGAATTTGCCTCATCGGGTCACCACAGACTGTGGTCTTCCGAGGCTAACAGCAGTGGAAGGAATATGTTCTGCCCCTATTGTTTTGAGACAGATGGGCTTTTCAGTCATCAGGGTCCTTACCTTGGCTTCGGGTGCAATCTGGAAATCGTCCTTCTGCTGAGCTGTGGCTGCTCCCATTGACCAGGTTGAGATTCCTTCCCTCCACGAGACGCTCTGGGAGGAAGTGAGTAGCACTCACCACATCACCAGGCCTAAGTGTCAGAGTCTCAGGCCTGACAGGGACAGTGCCCTCCGTGGCGCCCCCCCCCTTCCTTCTGGGAGGGATCCTTCATTGTCAGCCAGTGCCATCAGTTGACTCCTGTTCGGAACTGGGTACCCGACCTCAACTGAATGGGGCCTCCTGCACTAGTCCAAGGACTGTAAGGCCCTGAAGCCATTCGCCTTCAGAAAATGAGGGATAAACCAAGTCTGAAAGTCCTGCCTGTTCCCTCCCAGGCCCCATTACATTTGCAGGATTTTCTAAGAATTTATCTGTAATGGGGTAGTTGCCTGCTCCACTCCTCAGACAAGAGTGTGCCCCTGGCATACCTGGCATTTCCACTCTGCTGAACAGCCAGTCTATAAACCAAGGTCCTCACCTCCTTGACACCCTCCAAGGCAGAAGTCTGCGGGCCCTTGACCTGGCCAGCACTTCCCTCTCTGCCTCCCAGGGTTCACTGGAGAAGATGGGCCAAGTGTAGCCCTGTTGGCTGTGAGTTGAGGGGCTTCCATGTCCATACCCTGGGTCTTCACTTTGACTCTGCACCCTTCCTGGGGCTGCTCTATCCTCTGCTGATTCCCAAAGTCCCTACTTTCCCGGGACCGGAGTTGAAAGTGTTGACCACAGCAGCCCAGATAGTTCTGGACTCCATGCGCCTGCCAACAAGGACAGGTATATCTTTACATGTTCCTACTATGTCGCTGCATCTTTCCATCACCCTCATTCAGCTTTATCACTGTCATTTCTGAGAGACTGATCTCTCCCTTACCAACCTCAGAACGCTGCTCCGAGACCAAGTTTCTTAGGTCTCAGAGGCCTGAAAAATAAGCAAGGCTATGCTTAGCCTAAGAGGTCTGAGATCCCCTGTGACTGACAGCAGTTGGGAGTGCTGTTTCAGTGATCAACCCCCATATTCTGGGGTGTTGCTCTCCTCAATCCTCCTACATGGGGTCCTCATCTTGCTTTCTGGGTCTTGCATTAAAGGCTTCTGGGGAAATTCCACATCTCTGCAAACTCTGGAGCCGTGCTTGCTCTGCAGTGCTACAGAGAATGCATGGGTCCTTTTCCCAGGAGTGATAGGAGATGGAGAAGCTACAGCCAAAGGCAGGAGTCCCAGGACAGGTGGTCATCCGTCAGGGGAAAAAAGTACATCAATCTATCTCATCAGCCAGGTGAAGGTTCTCACGTCATTTCTGTTCTGATAGATTTACTTTCTACAGACAAGAGACTGCAGGCATGATATGGAGAGCTCCTGGTCTTCAGAGGTTATCTCACATGGCCAATGCACATGCTAATACTGTCACTAAATATTGTCTCTTTCATTTATCTATGAGTAATGAATAAGGGATACACATTTCTGGTTAAATGCATTTGGTACTCTTACTGCTCTGGCTACACATTCTGATCCAGGAGCTTGAGCACAAGGGCATTCTTTTTTATCACCTAGGACAAATTTTGAAGTATTGGGAAAAACACTGAAATAAAACATACAGGGTGGGGACTTTCCTAGTGGTCCAGTGGCTAGTAACCCAGGCTCCCAGTGCAGGGGGGCCAGGTTCAATCCCTGGTCAGGGAAGTAGACCCCACATGCCGCAAATAAGATCCACCACAGCCAAATAAATAAATAAGAAATAGAAAATGAAATGTCAAATATTAAATATACTTGTTTAAAAGAAAAGACAAGGGTATGTCTCAGGGTCGTGGGAGAAGAACAGTATGTATGCTACAGTAGTTTAGAGCAGGAGTCTAGTCCTAGCTCTGTCATTGACCAGCCTTATGTAGTTTGGCACAAAACCAAACTCTAACTCTATGAGCCTCGGGCTCTCCACTGTGAAGTGAGTTTTATAAACCCTGCCTTGTCAGACTGGTGGAATATATGTATTTATGGAAACCATCTATCACAGCACCTGCCTCTGTTGTGAAATTATGGGCAATCACAGTTATTATGATGAACTTGACCTCAGATGTTACATCAGCTGGGTTTCTTTTCTTTTTCTGCATCTATGAGATGTAAGAAACTATGCAGCATTCTAACTGAAAGAAAAACAAAAATGACCCCACCTCTGCAATCAGGCAAAATTCTGCTTAGCAATGAAACCAAAGTAATATATTCTCTCCACCCCCTCTCTACCCTGCTTCTTTCTTGTTCTTCTTGAGGTAGAGAGCATCTCAGCCTCTTCCACAGAATGACAGCTTCCCTGGAAACTATAATTGAATGGGCAGACTGAGAGTTTCCTTGACTAAACAGCGTCAGTACAGGCCTGAAAGACTTCTTTGAAGCAGATGCTCAATTAATGTTTGTGTAAAAGAAGAGCCACAAATAAATCATTTGCTATAATTTATATTCTCAAACATTCTTGAAAACCATAAGCAGATCCAAGTATATATCTTATACATTTACAAAAAAGGAGACTATAACAGAGAGTAAAGCAAACCAAAAATTGAAGAACTTTCAGCTATCTCTCTATGTATCTATGTTCTGAGCTTCTATTAGTGTGGCATCTTTCACATTTCTAAGGATATTCTTATCCTAAAGTGATGTTATTCTCATCCGGGATCACAAAAGTGATTTGAGGATTTCCAATACGCATTTCCAAAAACAAAATTCCTACTCATAAATCTGACAAACAGCAAAGGGTGTGTGACCCATGTTATTCAAATACTTGTATCATGAACCTAAATACACTTTCTGTTGAAAAAAGAAAGAACTGAAAACTGGGGGGCAGGGGGCAAGTCAACAGGAACACAGGATGATGACAGGCTTTTCTGACCACAAAGTGAAGAACAGCCTTCAGACCACACTAGGGGCGAGATGACTGGCTGGATGCGGCCCTAGCCTGGGCACTGGCCGAGGCAGAAGGGCCAGCACTGGCTGCAGCAGAAAGGCCAGGCATGGCTGAGGCAGGATGCTCAGCCTGGGCTGCAGCAGAAGGGCCTTCCCAGACCGAGGCATAAATGCCTGCAGTATCCCAGACAGACGTGCCAGCCCTGCCCGAGGCAGAAGTGCCAATGCTGGCTACATCTCTGGCCCTGGTGCTCTCTTCTTCCTGTCTGAAAGGCTCCTCAAAATAGTCTAGGAAGGTAGCAGGGAGTGTTTCATTGACCTTGGTCATAAACTTCAGGATTTTCATCTTGTTGGTTGCCATGAGCGCTCTCGGACCCAACAGGAACTCATAGCGAGGGGGATCACTGCCTGGCACCTGGCGGTACTTCAGGTACCCTTCCCGCACCAGATCTTCTGTGAGGAACTTCCTGGTATCTCCAAAGATGAAGTGCCTTCTTCCATCATAGACGCCCAGAAAATTCATGATCTTCCAGACCTCCTCCTCAGAGAGGCGGCGGCCATTCAGGTACATGACACCCAGCAGAGGCATCAGAAGACCATTCTTTGGCAGCCCCCGGTCACCTCTCATAGACTCACTGTCGCTGAGATCTAGGTTGCTCACCAGGATATAGGAGTGACTGTTGGGCCTGACTTCCTTCAGGACCAGGCCAAACACCATCTCTATGTGCTCAGAGGCTCTCCTGAGGATCTCAGGGAATTGCGCCCTGTACCTTTTATTGATTGCCTTCAGCATTTCTGACCTCCTAATGAGCTCCCTCAACTTATACTTATACATCATCTCCTGCACCAACACCTGTACATTCTTGGTCAGAGGATCTGTGTGAAAGCTCTCAGCAGCAGCTGAGGCCTGGGAGGAATTTTCACCTCCCTGACCTTGGCCCTCGGCACCTACACCAGCTCTTGACCCCACTGTGGCACTGACACCAGCTCTTGAGCATGCTGCGGCACCGACACCAGCTCTTGACCACACTGTGGCACTGACACCAGCTCTCGAGCGTGCTGTGGCACTGACACAAGCTCTTGAGCATGCTGCGGCACCGACACCAGCTCTTGAGCATGCTGCGGCACCGACACCAGCTCTTGAGCATGCTGCGGCACTGACACCAGCTCTTGAGCATGCTGCGGCACCGACACCAGCTCTTGACCACACTGTGGCACTGACACCAGCTCTCGAGCGTGCTGTGGCACCGACACACGCTCTTGAGCATGCTGCGGCACCGACACCAGCTCTTGAGCATGCTGCGGCACCGACACCAGCTCTTGACCACACTGTGGCACTGACACCAGCTCTTGAGCGTGCTGTGGCACTGACACAAGCTCTTGAGCGTGCTGCGGCACCGACACCAGCTCTTGAGCATGCTGTGGCACTGACACCAGCTCTTGAGCGTGCTGCTCCACTGACATCAGATCTTGAGCGTGCTGCAGCACCGACACCACATCTTTTGGGTATAGCACCTGCAGCAGCACTGGTGGTGCCTTGCGCTCCCTGAGGCACCTTCGGGGTGCCAGCAGCTGAGGAGCTTGAGGGAGCGCTCTCTAAATCAGGAGGGGAGGAGGAGGTGGTCTCTTCTCCCCTAGATGTGGTGGCTTGATCATGAAGACCCTGGGTCTCAGCCCGGGCCTGGTGACGTGTCTCATGACCACGGACCTTACTCTTCTGCCTACGGGGCATGATGGCCGTGGACAGGAACTACAGGCAGGAGTCTGGGTCAAAGGACAGGAGATTGGTGCACCTGGAGGATGGAGAATGAGTCGATGTGAGCAACTTAAAATGGGGACATTCCAACTTGACTTTTTATCAAAGGCCGCCTCTGCAGGTGTCCTTGAGGACACTGCCCGAGGAACCCACAAGGCTCCTGTTTCGTGCTCACCTGTCCCCACAGAATCCCCCAGAGGAGGAACAGAGGCCTTAGATTTTCCCTCTGCATCCTCTCAGCCCTGCTTTGGATTTACCAGCATTGCAGTCCTCTCAGCTCATCTTTAGTATTACCATGTCAAGCCTTGGCGGAGCCTAGGCACCCTTCCCTCTGCTACTCTGATGCAGACACTTTAGACCTCCACATCATCCAGAAGCCAAGTGAAGGGATATCTCAGGCCACCTCCCTCCCAGGGGATACCCAGTGCTGAGGGCTCAGTAGGGTTTTTTCCATCCTGAGTTCACTGGGATCACCATTCATGGTCCTTACCTTGGCTCCTTAAAACATTGGGCACCTTTCTCCATTTGCTGACTGGTGGCTGCACCTTCAGATTAGACATTTCCCCTCCCCTAGACTTGGTATAAAGCGGTGAAGTAGATGCTCAACCTCACAGCCCTTCCCTGAGATTTCCTGGGCTGAAATCCAAGGGATGGGATAAATGCACTGAGTACTCACTCAGGTTCCTCAATTGGGCTCCTGGCAGAGAAGCTCCTCTTTCTCCTGAATTGATGCCTGTGAGATAGTAAAACCCAATCAGCCTGTGTCCCAACAGGAGGAAGTAAGATGACCTTATCTTACCAAACAGTCTTCTAAGAACAGGTGCTATTACAGGCAAGTTGATGTCCCTGTGGTCCCACACAAGATCCCATTTCAAGGTCTATAATATCTTTTTGCTTCTCTATCTCTTTTCATAATTAAATTTATTTACTATTAATTGGAGGATAATTGCTTTACAGTATTGTGTTTGTTACAGCCACACATCAATATGAATCAGCCATAGGTATACTGTATGTCCCCTCCCTCTTGAAGTTCCCTCCCACCTCCCAGCCCATCCCACTCCTCTAAGCTATCACAGAGCACTCGGTTTGAGCTCTCTGTGTCATACGACTCATTCCCACTGGCTATCTATTTTACATATGGTAATGTGTGTGTTTTCAATGTTACTCCCTCAGTCTGTCCCTCCCTCTCTTTCCCCCAGTGTCCACGAGTCTGTTCTCTATGTCTGCAACTCTACTGCTGCCCTGCAAATAGGTTCATCAGTACCAGCTTTCTGAAATCCATGTATATGTGTTAATATACAATACTGTATATTATTTAATCTTATATAATATAATCTAATATATTATATAATCTAATATTATATAATATATAATATTATATAATCTTTCTGACTTAATTCACTCTGCATAGAAAATTAGGACTTAAATTACCACATGGAAATTGGAGCTAAGATGGCGGAGGAATAGGATGGGGAGACCACTTTCTCACCTACAAATTCATGGAAAGTACATCTGAAAGCTGATCAAACTCCATAAAACAACTTCTGATCACTAGCAGAGGACATCAGGTGCCCAGAAAAGCAGCCCATTTTCTTCAAAAGGAGGCTGGACAAAATATAAAAGATAAAAAGAGAGACAAAAGAGTTAGGGATGGAGACCTGTCTCGGGAAGGAAGTCTTAATAGAGAAAGTTTCTAAACACCAGGAAACCCTCTCACTTACGGGTATGGGGGAAGTTTTCCAGTCTCAGAGAGCAACCTAACTGGGAGGAAAAATAAATAAAACCCACGGATGACATGCCTAAAAGCAACTCCCAGCAGAAAAGTACCCCAGACGCTCGCATCTGCCACCAGCTAGTGGGGGCTGAACGGAGAGGAGCGGGAAGTTTTGCTTATGGTAAGAACCATGCCTGAATCCCCTGCAGGCAATCGGAGGGAGCTAACCTGAGATGGCAACTTAAACTGTGGGATAGCAAGAGAGAGAGAGAAAATTAACCTGCGAAAAGCCCTAACTGAAGACACTGCCGGCCCTTTGCAGAACAAAGGAAAGACTGAGCAATTCCGGAGAAGAGCTAAGTGGCTGTGGACAGGCCCATCCCCCCGCCGGAGTCAGGAGGCAGGGGGGAGGGGAAAGGGGCAAATCTGGCCCCAGAGACAGCATCCCCTACCAAACTGCAAATAGGTTTCCAGTCTCTAACCAAAGATTTTTTGAGATTCTGGAGGATTGATATCTGCCGGGAGGGTCGCAGCTAGAGACCAGCTCCCCAGAAGAGACACAAGGCGCGCTGGACAGGCGGAAACTGAGGCTGGAACTGCAGAGGGGAGAAGGCGCACCGCACCCAGGGAGAGTGTGCCCGCCAACCTCCTGGCTGCCTGAGCTGCTCGGGCTGGGGAAGGCACAAAACGCAGGCACAACCGAGTCCACGCTTTTGTGGAAGACCCGAAAACTGGAACCTGAGCGGTTCAGGCCTCGGAAGGGACGCACCTCAGGGCCCGCTCCCTGTAGAGCAGCCTGGAGCCTGAGCAGTGTAGACAGGGAAAGCACACACGCCGTGAGCGGGGACAAACACACTGTGGATGGAACACTGCGAGTGCTCCCCACACACGCCAGTGATACGTCTGCAGTATCCCCCCTCCCCACAGCACGACTGAACAAGCGAACCTAAACAAGAGACCACCTCCGCCCGTGTGTGTCAGGATGGAAATTAGACACTGAAGAGACCTGCAAACACAAGCCAAATAAACAAAGGGAATCGCTTCAGAAGTGACAGATGCAACAGATTAAAATCCCTGTAGTTAACACCGACTATACTGGAAGGGGCCTATAGATACCGAGAAGTGTAAGCTGGAACAAGGAGCTATCTGAAACTGAACTGAGCCCACACTGCCCACAACAGCTCCAAAGAAAATCCTAGATATAATTTTACTACTTTTTTAATTAAAAAAATGTTTTTAAGGTTTTTCTTTCTTTTTTTTGAAATGGCAACCCACTCCAATATTCTTGCCTGGAGAATCCCATGGGGGGAGGGGCCTGGTAGGCTAAAGTCCATGGGGTTGCAAAGAGGCGGACACGACCGAGCAACTTCACTTTCACTTTCTATTACTCCTCTATTACTCCTTAATTTTCACTTTCATAACCCACTATAACCTTGCAAAAAAAGACCCTATTTTTAAAGCAAACTTCATATACATTTCTTAAATTTTTTGTGTTTTTGTTTTTAATATTGTATTTTTAAGAGTCTAACCTCTACTCTAGATTTTTAATCTTTGTTTGCCAGTATTTGATATCAATTTTGGTTATTTAAGAATCCAATATTCGGTACCCATTTTTACTCAGGAGTGTGATGATTACTCTCTCCCCCTTTTGACTCTCCTTTCTCTCCCCCAGATCACCTCTATTTCCTCCATCCCCCTTCGCTTCTCAATCCAATTCTGTGAATCTCTGTGGGTGTTCTGGGCTACGGAGAGCACTTAGGGAACAGAGTACTGCGTAGATCTGTCTCTCTCCTCTTGAGTCCCCCTTTTCTCCTCCTGCTCATCTCTATCTTCTTCACCACCCAAGAGCCAATAAGTTCCAGAGCAAGACATACCACACAAATTCTCCAGCAATGCAGGAACATAGCCCTGAGCGTCGACATACAGGCTGCCCAAAGTCACACCAAACCCACAGACCCATCTCAAAACTCTCTACTGGACACTCCATAGCACTCCAGAGAGAAGAAATCCAGCGCCACATACCAGAACACTGACGCAAGCTTCCCTAAACAGGAAACCTTGACAAGCCAATCGTCCAACCACACCCACTGGGAGAAACCTCCACAATAAAAAAGAAACACAGACCACCAGAATACAGAAAGGCTACCCCAAACACAGCAATATAAACAAGATGAAAAGGCAGAGAAATACCCAGCAGGTAAAGGAACATGAAAAATGCCCACCAAGCCAAACAAGAGGAAGAGATAGGGAATCTACCTGAAAAAAAATTTAGAATAATGATAATAAAAATGATCCAAAATCTTGAAAACAGAATGGAGTTACAGATAAATAGCCTGGAGACAAGGATTGAGAAGATGCAAGAAATGTTTCTCATGGACTTAGAAGAAATAAAAAAGAGACAATTAAAAGTGAGTAATGCAATAAATGAGATCAAAAACTCAGGAGGGAACCATCAGTAGAATAATGGAGGCAAAAGATAGGGTAAGTGAGGTAGAAGATAAAATGGTGGAAGGAAGTGAAGCAGAGAGGAAAAAAGAACAAAGAATCAAAAGAAATGAGGACCACCTCAGGGACCTCTGGGACAATGTGAAACACCCCAACATTCGAATCATAGTAGTCCCAGAAGAAGACGACAAAAAGAAAGGCCATGAGAAAATACTCGAGGAGATAATAGCTGAAAACTTCCCTAAAATGGGGAAGGAAATAGCCACCCAAGTCCAAGAAACCCAGAGAGTCCCAAACAGGATAAACCCAAGGCGAAACACCACAAGACACATAGTCACCAAATTAACAAAGCTCAAACACAAAGAACAAATATTAAAAGCAGCAAGGGAGAAACAACAAGTAACACACAAAGGGGATTCCCATAAGGATAACAGCTGATCTATCAATAGAAACTCTTCAGGCCAGAAGGGAATGGCAGGACATACTTAAAGTAAAGAGAGTATTCTACAACCCAGATTACTCTACCAAGCAAGGAGCTAATTCATATATGAAGGAGAATGCAAAAGCTTTACAGACAAGCAAAAGCTGAGAGAATTCAGCACCACCAAACCAGCTCTTCAGCAAATGCTAAAGGATCTTCTCTAGACAGGAAACACAGAAAGGTTGTATAAACGCGAACTCAAAACAGCAAAGTAAATGGCAACGGGACCACACCTATCAATAATTACCTTAAATGTAAATGGGTTGAATGCCCCAACCAAAAGACAAAGACTGGCTGAATGGATACAAAAACAAGACCCCTATATATGCTGTCTACAAGAGACCCACCTCAAAA